GGAGAGACCATTCGCCTGGGGGAATGTTGTCTCGAGATAGCATATCTGCACCCTGGTTCAGTATGCCCGGTACATGCGCTGCTGGTGTACAGGTTGTGTGACTGAGACCGCCCTGGCGATTTATATATGACACCACCGCCATGTTGTCCGTCCGGACTAAAACGTGACCTGCCAGATGTGTGAGGAAGGTTTTTAGGGCTAGAAAAACCGCTCTCGTTTCAGGACAGTTGATATGTAGGCGCTTCTCCGACCTCGACCAGAGGCCGGAGACAGGCCTGCCCTTATACATAGCCCCCGAACCTAATTTGGAGGCGTCTGTTGAAATTACCTTCCTCCTTGACACCAGACCCATGCTCACACCAGACTGGTTCCAGCTGGTGTCCTTCCAAGGGGCCAGGGCTTTGACACAGCCATGGTTTACCCTTATACGTAGACGGCTGTGCCTCCACACATGAGAAGCGAAATGAGGTTTGAGTCAGCACTGAAGGGGGCGCATACGCAGTAGGCCTAGATCGAGTATAAGGCCCAATGCCCTTTGAAACGTTCCGAGGGGCGTGAGAGAGCCCACTTTGAACGAAGCAGCTAGCTGTTGAATAGAGAGAGAGCATTCTAGCGTGAGCCAAGCTCTCATTTGAATGGAGTCGATAACTGTTCCCAGGTACATTATATGCTGGCTGGGAGTCAGCACACTCTTGGAAAAGTTTATCCTGAGCCCAGGGCTTTCTAGATGGCCGAGGAGCCAGGTCTTGTGAGTCCGTAACTTCGCCTCTGACTGGGCCAGGATGAGTCAGTCATTGAGGAAATTCAGAATGCGCATTCCCCGCTGTCTCGGGGGGGAGAGAGCCCCATCCATGCACGTAAACATACAGGGTGCTAGAGAAAGACCGGCGGTGCTGGTTTGGCTGGCTGTGAGGTCGGCACGTTCTTGGGGCGACCTGCAGCCAAGCTGGTGCGCTTCGGGAGGAAGTGTCGCATGGCCTGCGAAGACTTATGCGGCTCAGTGAAGCGCTCAGAGAAGCCTTTGACGGATGGGCCGGAGAGACCAGAGAAGGAAACCGGGGAATCCAGGAAAGCAGTTCTGTCAGCGTCCTTGATGTCCGTCAGGTTTAGCAACAGGTGGCGCTCCGGAACGGTCAGGCTGGTTATGCTCCTTCCAATGGTCTGGGCGGTGGTTTTAGTGACGCGCAGTGCCAGGTCGGTGGTGCTGCACAGGTCCTTTAATGCCTTGTTTCCTTGAGCAGACTTGTCCAGAGAGCGGAGGAGTTTGGCTTAGAAAACCTGGAGGACCGTCATTGTGTGCAGGGCTGAAGCAGCTTGACCAGTGGAAGCGTAGGCTCGACCGGCGATCTCTGAAGTAGTCCTGCTGGGCTTAGAAGGATGAACAGCCTTAGACCTCCAACCAAAAGCGGTGGGAGGGCAAAGGTGTGCAGCCACCGCTTCTTCCAGTGGGGGGAGTTTCTCATATCCCTTTTCCTCTGCGCCGAGACGAGGCCGGCCGCTTCGAGAGAGGGGCGCTGGTCCGTCTTTGCGAACAGAACTGGTGACTCACTCTCTGGGGTGAGTGAGGCACACAGGGACGGACCTGACGTGATCTCGTTAGCCTCCGAGCGCTCGTTCATCCTCTGACTCCGCCTTTTCTTCCCCCTAGGCTCGAGGAGAGAAGGAAACGGGAGAGCGCGAGTGGCGGGGTTGCTCTCCAAAGTAGAGAGAGCTAGCCGCGAGCGGAGAGCGGCATGTTCTTGCAGTGAGAACAGCTGCCGTGAGTGAGTGCAGCTTCCACGTGGTCCGGGCCGAGGCAGGAAGCACACTCACTGTGCCCATCCAATATTCTCGAGAAAAGGAGTTTTCCCATAGCGTAAAGCTATGCAAGACGAGAGACCGTTCTCGAAAGGGAACACATATTATACTAAATTTTAAGAAATACAGTAGCAACTACTTTATTATCCTTTATTAGACTTTGTAAATAATAAATGGAGTTTTTACCGGATTCAGTGCATCTTGAACTTGAATGTTTTTGTTGTCCTGGCTGGTGTAGTTAGATTTAATGACTTTTGATGAGGCATGGATCCTTTGCTTCATCAACAAAGTCGTCATCAGCAGAAAAATCCCTATCTATGAATGTGTTTGTTGGTTATTTTACCGCTCTAGCTAAAACATGACAGCTGCACAAAACCCAATCACATTTTTTTGTATTATATTTCTTATTGTGGTTTTGTAATTTTAGGGAAGAAATCAAATAACACAGACATAATTGAAATGCGGGACACTGATTACGTCTTAACTCACGGGATGTGGGACAAAGCTCCCAATTTCGGGACTGCTCTGCAAAATTCGGGACAGGTGCTCACCCTAAAGACGACAAATGCACTGAACACAGCAAAAGCAGCTCAAACTTAAAACACACAGTAGCAAAACATTACAGATATTAACACATGGTAAATCAGCGGTTAATTTGTTTATTCATTAATTTATTGAACCTTCTGATGCATGAATTAAATCACTAAGAAAAAAACCTAATGTTTCTTTTTACTTTAAAACAACAGCAGAAACATTTACAATCGTTTATTTTAATTTAATATATACACTACTGGTCAAATGTTTGGAATCATTAAGATTTTTTATGTTTTTGAAAGAAGTCTCTTATGCTCACCAAGGTTGCATTTCTTTGATCAAAATACAGTAAAACAGTAATAATGTAGAATATTAAAATAATTTTTTCTATTTTGAATATTTTAAAGTGTAATTTATTTCTTAAGGATCACGTGACACTGAAGACTGGAGTAATGGCCGTTGAAAATTCACCTTTCACATCACAGGAATAAATTCCATTGAAAAATATATTCAAATAGAAAACAGTTATTTTAAATTGTAATAATTAGGGGTGTAACAATATATCATGTCACAATATATCACAATACAAAAAAGCAACAATATGTATCGTGGATAGACAGAAAAAAATTCTAGTTTTCAGAGTTTTAGTGTCAGTACTACATTAAACTACTATACATAATGTTGAATAATGTATAATAATGCAATGGGGGAATATTTGTGGGTCCTGTGATAATGCCAAATGTCTTATGCTACCAGTAAAAAGTGGCTTACATTATTTTAAATATATCTAGTCAGTAACAGAGTAGGTTATCAGCACCAAGTCCAAGCCTATTCATTTACACCCACAATTAAATATCAAATTTAGCAATTTAATCAACAGTACATTTTTTGTTTTATCATGTGTCTTCATAGGAGTATCGCAATAATATCGTATTGTGAGTTCAGGTTCATGATATGTATTGAATCGTGAAATGAGGGTATCTTTACACCCCTATAATCTTTTTACAATATTACAGTTTTACTGTATTTTTGATCAAAGATATAGCCTACAGCCTTGTTTCAAAAACTTTTGTAAGTTTTCATTTATATTTCATATCATTTATATAATTTATTTTTTAATATTACTAATAAATAAATAAGTAATATAAAAAAAAAAAAATTATATAAGTTGCACACACACACACACACACACACATATACACTCACCGGCCACTTTATTAGGTACCCCATGCTAGTAACGGGTTGGACCCCCTTTTGCCTTCAGAACTGCCTCAATTCTTCGTGGCATAGATTCAACAAGGTGCTGGAAGCATTCCTCAGGGACTTTGGTCCATATTGACATGATGGCATCACACAGTTGCCGCAGATTTGTCGGCTGCACATCCATGATGCGAATCTCCCGTTCCACCACATCCCAAAGATGCTCTATTGGGTTGAGATCTGGTGACTGTGGAGGCCATTTTAGTACAGTGAACTCATTGTCATGTTCAAGAAACCAATTTGAAATGATTAGAGCTTTGTGACATGGTGGAAGTAGCCATCAGAGGATGGGTACATGGTGGCCATAAAGGGATGGACATGGTCAGAAACAATGCTCAGGTAGGCCGTGGCATTTAAACGATGCCCAATTGGCACTAAGGGGCCTAAAGTGTGCCAGGAAAACATCCCCCACACCATTACACCACCACCACCAGCCTGCACAGTGGTAACAAGGCATGATGGTTCCATGTTCTCATTCTGTTTACGCCAAATTCTGACTCTAACATCTGAATGTCTCAACAGAAATCGAGACTCATCAGACCAGGCAACATTTTTCCAGTCTTCAACTGTTCAATTTTGGTGAGCTCTTGCAAATTGTAGCCTCTTTTTCCTATTTGTAGTGGAGATGAGTGGTACCCGGTGGAGTCTTCTGCTGTTGTAGCCCATCCGCCTCAAGGTTGTGCGTGTTGTGGCTTCACAAATGCTTTGCTGCATACCTCGGTTGTAACGAGTGGTTATTTCAGTCACTGTTGCCCTTCTATCAGCTCGAACCAGTCTGGCCATTCTCCTCTGACCTCTGGCATCAACAAGGCATTTCCGCCCACAGAACTGCCGCTCACTGGATGTTTTTTCTTTTTCGGACCATTCTCTGTAAACCCTAGAGATGGTTGTGCGTGAAAATCCCAGTAGATTAGCAGTTTCTGAAATACTCAGACCAGCCCTTCTGGCACCAACAATCATGCCACGTTCAAAGTCACTCAAATCAACTTTCTTCCCCATACTGATGCTCGGTTTGAACTGCAGGAGATTGTCTTGACCATGTCTACATGCCTAAATGCACTGAGTTGCCGCCATGTGATTGGCTGCTTAGAAATTAAGTGTTAACGAGCAGTTGGACAGGTGTACCTAATAAAGTGGCCGGTGAGTGTATATATATATAATGGCAAATGTTCCAGAGGTACTTGGTCAGCCATGTTGAATTATAAAAGGGACAGACATATTATTATTATAATTATTAGGATGTGCCATCACACCCTGGGTGATTAAAATAACTTTACATCAGAGGGTTAATCAACATGATAAGCCCTTAAGTACTCTTGTATTTATGACATTTTACACTTTAATTCATGCATTCTGGAATGCAAATACTGTTTTACACACAACAGCAAGTCCTAATCCTAAGAGTTTACCATCACAGAAGTTCTGCTCCAAATAGTCCATGATTTGTGTGGGGTCACAGATGACACTGTCATTGTGAACCAGCACAGGAACCTCACCAGTGGGGTTCAGATGCATAAACCAGGGCTCATTGTGTTCACTCAGAGGCAGACTCACATCATACTCCTCACACTGAAGACCTTTCTCAGCTATTGCCAGTCTCACCTATGACAGAAACATTATGTTCATTTTTTGGCCGCTTCTTTCGAATTTTATACCATAGAAAGACTGAAACATCATGAAACAGTTATTTTGCACTCCAACTCTCATTTTGTTGAAGAAAACAACAGCAGCCCAGCTAACAAAAATATGTTCTAAGAACGTTTTACTAAAGTTTTGAAAACGTTATGTTCTCTGAATATTCAAAATGTACATTTATTAATGTTTTTAATGTTTTAAATACGTTTTTTTCTTGGTTATTTAAACGTTAAGGGAACATTTCATTTGATAATTTAGCAAACATTGTGGGAATGTTACTTTTGAATGTTCATTCTGAAACAAGCAGTAACATTTAAAAAATTGTTAGATGAACAGCCAACCAAAACGTTTCAGAAAAAAAGCCTTATAGTTCTATGAATAAAATTTAAATATTTGTTTTGTGTCAACGTTCTGAGAACATTATTAAAGACCAGATAACATTGAATGAATGTTCTACCAACGTTACTGGAACAATTTTGTTCATGACTTTAGGAGAACCTTGCCAGAACATTAGCCAAAGTTCTGAGATAGTTGTGTACGGTAATATATTTGTGATTCAGGTGTAAAATATCTATCTATCAGTATTACATATTAATATAATATCTATCAGTAATTATTACAGTAATTCGACAGAGCCTTCACACCTGCATTACCATGCATCATTAATAATGTATAATTTATGAATAATTAACATGCATGCTGTCAGTCAGCAATTGTTTAATTGAGACAGCTATATGAATAGAGGAATAATCCAAACAATGCCAGATCTTTAAAAGTATGTGAATATCACAATCAAAACAACAGACTGCATCCACCCTGATGCTCTTAATTATTGGATCGCTTACCTTCTGAGAACTAAATGACTGAGTCCAGTGGTACAATATCAGTTTGGACTCTTTGTTTTTTGTGCTCTCGACAACCTCACCGCTGTTCTCTGCATCCTTAATAAGGATTTCCTTCTCATCCTGAGATTCGCCGATGTTTTCCACCGCCATTTTATCAGTCGAAGGCTGTGGCTCAAAACCTAGTTGACTGACGGTTATGCATCCTACGCGCGCGCAGCATTTTTTTTTAGCATATTACGCGCTTGCAGCGCCATCACAGGCGCGTACCCGCGTATTCTATCGCGCCTTGAGCCTGCTAGCGAGAGACTTATGATGCCCATAAATGCTGTCTGGGGAGGCAACTCACTAGGTTTTAAAACACAGTCAGTGTGTTGAACAGCGCAGCCTCAAGTGGTGGTACCCAACTTCTTAAAGGACACTCATCCACATTCATGAAATGTAGGCACATTTTTTTTCTTTAAATCAATTAAAAAGCAAATTATTGCATTTAATGCTCTCAGATAAAATTAGTCAACTGCTTTATTTAACAGTAAATATTTATAATAGGCTAGGCCTATATTAATTTACATGGTGGAAGTATAAATCAGAAGCGCACATTTTAAATGAACCAGCAGATGTCTCTGTAGACTGTTCTTCTCTATCTAATTACATTTCATTATTACAAAAAACTGTTGAGAATTTTGACATTTCATTCTGATAATTTATGATATGCAGTTTAATAGGCTAGAAATGTCATCTGTTTCATACAATAAAAAGAGACTTTCCCATGTTTCAAAATAGGCTACATAATTTTTGTAGCTAAATTACACCTATATGTTAAATATACTTAGGCTACATTGAAAATATACATCCATCCAAATCGCAGAGCTTTTACATGATAAAGGAATGGTATCCAATATAATCATATTAACCCAGTTGTTGAAAGGTATATAGACAGACATTTCTACACGAAAAAGAAAAAAGGGAAAGAAAAGTATATGATAATGGGGTTCAATTCAGCTTTAAGTAACAAAACATGTATCAACCCTAAAAAAAGTCACATATTTACACTGCTTTATATATTACATTAAGTATGTTGTGATTTTCAAGCCGATTGGGGTGTGCACACTTCAAGCCCAAGTCCATGAAAGTATTCAAATCTAAATGTAATCAACCACAATTATTTTTGTGATTCCAGACATTTCAATAACTTTATGTTTGTTAATGAAAACAGCAGTAGTCGAGGAGACAAATTAAAATGAGAACAAAATATTTTAAGAAACATGATGTCATGTTGTACCTCGTAGTTTGTAAAGTTTTAGTTAAATTAGATAATTGTAATTTATTTTAAAGAATTTCGAATCATCTTTGGAAGTATGCTGATGCCCCCTAGTGGCTTCTAGTGGCTTCTGGGCTAAATTTCTGTCATAATTTTGATTAAAGGGAAACATCGAATTACAAAAATAAAGAACATTCTACACTGTAAAAAACGTTGCTGCCTTAATTTTTTAAGTACAATCAATTAAAATGTTTAAGTACAATCTATATAAGTCGTTTAAACTTAAATCACATTAAACTGACTTAAAAATTATAGTTGAATCTTTTATTACTTAGGCCTATATAAAAAAGTTGAAATTTGCTTTACTTATTTTGATGATATGTTGTAAAAACGTATTGAGTTTCAGTGAAAATGTTGCTATTTTATCAAAACTAATGGCATGCAAAGGAGAGTTGTGGGTTTGCAACAATCTGTGAAATATAGGCCTACTTCTATAGTTCTACATTTACATACGCTTATATCATAGCTTTTATCAGCAGTTCACCAGTCCATGATGGTCAATTTCCACCATCTGAACCATTTAAAGCCACGAGAACAAGAGGTATTAGTCACATTATTTCCAACATTGGCTGCCAGAGAAAGAAAATACATTTCAGTGCTATGAAAACGTTTTTTTTTTGTTTTTAGTTTGTTCCAGAAGGTTTAAGTATAATTGAAAGTCATTCAAAGCCCACTTATTTTCATGTAGGCCTATTTGAAATTTTCCTATTAGCCTAAATTAAATAATTGCAAACTGTATTGTTCTTCACATTCTAAAATGTATTTCTGAAAATATAAAAAGCACGTCAAATACATAAATGTCATTTAAACCAGTTTCCTCTTATAAGTTTCTAAATCCTTCCATAATAATTTTGAGTAAATACAAATGCAAAATTCTTTTTCCTTTCCACAAAATAAAAAAATAAAAGTTCAGCTTAAATCTTCCCAAAATATGTTTAATTGGTAAATTCTCGGTATTGTAAGATAATTCTTTAAATGTGTTATGGATACATTTAATCACTCACTCATTCATTCATTCATTCATTCATTTATTTATTTCATTTAAATAAGATAAAAAAAAATCCAAACAAAGCATTTCTTAAAGCCTGTGAACCTGCGCGTCTTCAGTGAGGGTGAAGTGGGCGTGGCCGCGATGATGACGCGTGAGGATTGACAGCGTCTCTCGCAGCTGAGCTGAGGCGCGCGCGGTCTCGTTGTGTGTGCTCTCTCTGCTCTGCGCAGCGCCTGCGAGCGGGAGGGAGTCGGCGGTTCCAGCGTGTGCGGCTTCGGTAATGATGCACTAAACCTGCCTCCTCATTCATACTCTCACAACCCAAGCAAAAATCCCAACCAACAACATCTCCATTGTGATTAATTCTCCCAAGTTTCATCGTTGCTATTGAACTCGGCTGTGGAAAAAAAAGGTTTAATGAAAAAGAAAGACGAGAAGAAGCGCACGGCAACGTTACGACTGTTTTTATTTTCATCCCATTCTGAATGACGGGCGGACGGTTCGACTTCGACGATGGAGGCACTTTCTGTGGCGGATGGGAGGACGGGAAAGCCCACGGACACGGCATCTGCACGGGACCCAAGGGTCAAGGCGAGTACGCCGGGTCCTGGTCCCACGGTTTTGAGATAGTCGGGGTCTACACCTGGCCCAGCGGGAATACGTACCAGGGCTACTGGTCGCAAGGCAAACGCCACGGGCTTGGTGTTGAGACCAAGGGGAAATGGCTTTATCGTGGGGAGTGGAGTCACGGGTTCAAGGGTCGCTATGGAGTTCGGCAGAGCACCAATACACCTGCTAGATACGATGGGACGTGGAGTAATGGACTACAGGATGGCTATGGAGTCGAAACCTATGGGGATGGTGGTAAGTGCCACTGCTGTTTACAAATGTCATGTATGTTTAGGGATGCGAATCGTAAACAATTGAATGATTACGATTCCGGTTCCTTTATTTAATGTCACAATAATTATTTGTTTAGTAGTTTTGGGGAAGAAACGTTTACAAAAAAAAAAAACATTCTATTATTTACTGCTCTCAGCAGCTTGTTGTCAAATGATCATTGCGGATAAAACAAATCAGGGATCAATTTTATTCTGCAAAAAGACAAAACCAGCATATATATATATATATATATATATATATATATATATATATATATATATATATATATATATATATATATATATATATAAGCTACTCTATATTATAACGTATTTCATTCATTCATTCATTCATACAAAAAAAACCCATGTCTTTGAATACAAATCAACATAGAACAACCAGTCTAACGACGCCGTTTTAAGCCTCACGAGCCTTTAGTGCAAATAACACTGTAACAGCTGTTGCTTCGTTTAGATTCGGACAAGACGATAACTTGCGGTTCAGTAAGTGAGTCAGATTAATTCAGAAACGCTCCGACTGACCCATAATCGTTTTTGATTCACTAAAAAGAACCGGCTCATAAGAATCATGTTTCGTTTGGGAGTCTTAAATGTCATTGATTCACTTAAAAGAATCTGATCACTCATACGAGTCATTCGTTTGAAAATCGGACGCACTGTTCGTACTGGTTTTTTTTATTATTGAATGTAATTTAGATTTAAAGTACATTAATTGCAAGATTCTGTTTACAGATAGACATTATACAGAAAACAAATTATGACTTGAAAAAGAAATACACAAAATAACAATAAAATACTATTAAAATAAGGTGGTAAGAAATTAATAAAATAAGATTAAAAAATGCATATATCATATAAAATAAATATTTATCAAGGCTTTGTGGAGAGAAATATATTATATACATATTATGTATTTATAGTTTTTGAATAGATTGATTAAATATTCTCTAAACCGGATCATGAGAGTCATTTGCTCAGGAATAAGCACACACTGGTCTATCTGGCTGTTAGCTTTTGTTCACTAATAAGAACCGACTCATGAGAATCAGACTGCACTGGTCGATGTATGTTTTGTGCTGATTTAGTAAAGGTCTTCTTCACTCTAAATACTACGATTCAATTCCATAAGAATGCAATTATAAGAAATTTAATGGAATAGAACGTTATGAAAAAGAACCAATTCAAGGTTCCTAACTAACTCTATTTATGTTTTTGCCAACAGTCAGGTCAGAGGTCATTGCCAACGTGTGTAAATAAAATCCAATGCTTTCAAAGTACACTAAACAAATGCTGGTGACATTAAGATAAATATACATAGATGAACAACATATAGTACTTTGCACATTACATAATTTTAGCAAGATTGTATATTAAACTTGTGCCACAATCTACTCTATGCTTTTTGAACGCATCGCAATGTGACATCCAACATTTACCTAATGCCTTATTAGTTACCAAATGTGCTTGTTGATATTGTGTGTAAATAGTGTCAGTGATGAACTCTGTAAACATAAAACATAACTGTCATGCAACTAACATTGATTGATACTTGATATGCTAATGTCCCTCAAAAGCATTCTTTCTTTTATCATTAAGATTATATTTGAGACTAAAATTATGAGTATGTTCCAAACCAACTTTACCAGGCTTGTGCTGTTCATTTATACTTGATCTACACAAGTTTAACTTTGTTTTATGTTTTATAAGGCACTTATCAAGGCCAGTGGATGGGGGGCATGAGGCATGGCTACGGTGTACGACAGAGCGTGCCTTATGGAATGGCCACCATCATACGCTCTCCGCTTCGCACCTCTCTGGCCTCCCTAAGGAGTGTGCAAAGCAATGGCGCCATCCTGCAGGATACGGTACCTGACACACCAGTTGGAAGCCGTGGTGGTTTCGTGCTGAATTTTCACAGCGACACCGAAGTCGTCACCGGGAAGAAGAAGGGCCTGTTCCGCCGCGGGTCCCTCTTTGGCAGCCTCCGCCAGCTACGGAAATCTGACTCCAAAACGTCCATCTCTAGCAAACGGAGCTCGGCGCGTAGTGACGCCACCATGAGCCGCATCAGCTCCAGCGACGCCAACTCCACCATTAGCTATGGAGACGGAGAAGTGCCCGATGAGTTCACGCCCATGGAGGACCACGTGGATGCCACCACCACCGAGTCCTACATGGGCGAGTGGAAGAATGACAAGCGCAATGGATTTGGAGTCAGTGAGCGATCCAATGGGCTAAAGTACGAAGGGGAATGGTTGAACAACAAGAGGCATGGATACGGATGCACAATATTCCCAGATGGAACCAAAGAGGAGGGGAAGTATAAAAATAATGTGTTGGTGCGTGGGATAAGGAAGCAGCTTATTCCTCTTAAAAACCATAAAACTAAAGAGAAAGTGGACAGGGCCGTGGAGGGGGCTCGAAGGGCGGCAGCTATCGCCAGGACGAAAGTGGAAATAGCAGTTTCAAGGTAGGGCAACTCCTCTGCTGAAAATCTCCTCTCTGGGGCCAAAAAAAGGAAAATTCTCTCATCATTTATTAACCCTCATGTTGTTCAAAACTTGTATGACTTTCTTTATTCAGTGGAATGCGAAAGGAGAAACGTTGAAGAATGTCCACTCTTTTTCATGTAATGAAAGTGGATGGGAATCTGGGCTGTTGAGCTCCAAAATGACAAAAAAAATATCCAAGTCTTCTGAAGGAAGCCATACGATAGTTTTGTGTGAAAAAAAATAGGCCCTAATCTAAATCTTCCCCAATCCCCTCCACTGCAGTGTTATTGTTAACCCTTAAATGCATGAATGTTTCGCCAGTCATTATTACATATTTGGGTCTTTAGCGACCCGGATCTATATCTAACACGGAATGGATCTCTACCTGTTGCGATAATATAAAACTCTCCTGATATAAGAGTAACAATTACAGAAGAATAAAATAAAGCATATTTTGTTAGCTTTTGGAGATTAGAAGGGTTCAGTTTGAGCAGATGTTTTATACCATCAGTGCATTCAGCATCTGGCTCATATTCACAATCTCAAACATATTCTCAAAACTATCATTTGTAACATCTTCAAAATCAATATTTTGATCGCTGCAGCTTCTTAAAATAAAAGTAAATAAATCTAAATAGAAATATATAAAACAAATATAAAAATGACAAAAGTACATAACAAAATTACTAAAACTTTATTGTATAATAAAAATAAAATGGTATAAAAATTAAACTCCACTGTAGCTTTTATATATTAGTTGCACTTCCACATATTCATATTCAGAATAGTCTGACAATCTGTCAAATTTTGGTCTGTTAGTCACAAAAACCTATATGGCTTTAAAAGAAATGGTATATAGCACATGAGTCGTATGGACTACTTTTATGATAGTTTAATGGGGTGTTTTTGTCATTTTGAAGCTCAACAGCACAGATCCCCATGTGCTATCATTATATGGCCAGTACATTCGTCTCTTTTGCATCGTGTGTAAGAAAATCAAATGTGTTTGAAACGACATGAAGGTGAGTAAATGATGACAGACATTATAACAAGAATATATGACTTGACTGTCACAACTCTAGAGACATCAAGAATTTGTAATATATCATGCGCAATCTTGACAGGTTGACTTGAAACTGTTGTGATCAAGTGCACCAACCACATCAAGGCTTCTGTAACATTCCCAAGATTGCTACTACCGTACTTGTACTGTTAAGCTGTGATGTCTGCATGGTTCAGACGTATGGCGTATGGGGCAACTATTCAGATTTCATTCATTAACCATATGTCATTGATCTATTTCTAGGTGTAGCTTCACAGTCACACAAACCTTGTTCGGCAAAGCTCTGGTGTTTTTAACAGATTTATTTAGTTTGATCTTCTTTAGGAAGTCTGAATTTGAAAAGGTTGCACAAACAACCTTTTTGAGGATTGGTGTCTATTATTTGTCCATAGCTCAGATGCACAGGGAGCAGTCATGGGGTCATGCATCTCATGTACTCTATTATGATGTCTGTTCCCTTGCCAAGAGCCATACTAGACAGACATATTTTAATAGATGTGTTGTGTAAACCACTTATTCAAGGCATGCAAATTCATAGCATCCTAAACAGGTCTTGGGGAACTCACATGCTCATGTTACTTCCATTAACCACCCGAACAGATGCTTTGTCAAACATCTTCAACCAAACGTCTTCAATAGACCAAGTTATGTATGAATGTATACAGACTGTATGCGCATAACCAGTGGATTAGAGAGGTGTTCCATGTTCCATTAGTAAGTCAATGAACTTCAAGGATTATCCAAGTCTGTGATTTTTACACAAACAAACATTAGAGTATTTTAATATAGTGAAAGCTGTCCTTATGTGCTCCCACTCATAATGTTAAAGCCACCGGATGAGCAAGGGTCTTCCTGGTTGACAAATTAGTGGGCTTGCACTACAAAAAAATGACTTTTTAATGGGTTTTATGGGGATTGTTCACCCAAAAATGATTAATAATTTACTCACCCTCAAGTTGTTACAAACCTATATGACTTTCTTTCTTTTGCTGAACACAAACGAATATATTTTGAAGAATGTCAGTAACCAAACAGTGATGGGCCCCATTGACTTCCATAGTATAAGAAAAAAATACCATGGAAGTCAATGGAGACCAAACTCTGTTCTTTTACACTTTCTAAGAAACCTGAAAAAAATATATCACCGTTTCCACAAAAATATTAAGCAGCACAAATAAATGATTTCAACATTGATAATAATAGGACATATTAGAATGATTTCTGAAGGATCGTGTGACCTTCACCTTCCAAATTCACCTTTGCCATCACAGGAAGAAATTGCATTTTAACATATTAAAATAGAAAACAGTTCTTTCAAATCGTAATAATATTTCACAATATTTCTGTTTTTACTGTATTTTTGATCAAATAAATGCAGCCTTGGTGAGCATAAGAGACTTCTTTCAAAGACAAAATCTTCCCAACCCCAAACTTTTAAATGGTAGTGTAGATAGTTTCCATATTCTCAGTTAGAATGGAAGACATTGTGCCATTTTAATGGCCCAAAGCCAACACAGAAATGATGTGATTGGTATAAAGCGACAGACCAGAATTGCACAGATTCTGACATCCTGTGTCACTCCAATTTGGAACTGAACCTGTAACATTTGTTACATTTAACCCCTACCCACTGACGAATAAAAGAGCACTTTTCAGTCCAGATCTTTTATTTAAGGGTTAAAGACCATAAATAAAAGACCATCATTAGTAAATGATTGTTGGTATGTGTATATGCACACGTCTGCCTCATGAATGTGTTCTGTTGCCTCATGACTCTGACGTTCTGACCTCATGTTAGTGATCAGCCAATCAATAAATAAATAACATGATGTAGAATATAGGCAGCAGCACTGCCAGTGTACAAAGGGGTCAAACAGGTTAACAGTTGGTTTGAGTGGCACTTTCAGGCTATTTACAGTTTCTGTGTTTATTATAACATGGAATAAGCCACCTACTGGGCACTATTAGCTGAGTATCTGGCATTTGTCCCACTCAAGAGTGGCCTGTGTTCTGTGGTTACTCTCCCTCAGCGAGCAGTGGGTCAGGGTTACAGGGCTTACGCTCCAGGGTCAGTACCAGTGCTACAGTGCTATGAAATTAAAGTAAAGCCATTTTACTATGCATCACTTGCATTCAGTTACAGCTGAGCTAGAGCTTGCTTGCAGGCTAACGGTTACGATCTTGGCTGGCTGTCAGTGCTTTAGAGATGAATACAGTAATACTGCTCCGTATCTTCACTCCACCCTAGAGTGTATTCTCTTTAAAGGGTCGTAAATATAATCCCACACACCCCCCTTTCCTGAGGGGCAGGGCTCTTGCTGTGGTCAACAGAATCTGCTGTTTTAGGAGTTGGTGTGAAAGGTTAACTTGCGTACTTGGCCTCACTGTGAAAGGAAACGTGATAGATTCAGTGTCAGGGCAACTACATAATATAACAGGTCCACTTTAGGATAAGACACAGTGTTAGTCAGGGAAATTGTTGACAATTTGGTTGGTTGTACACATTGGTGGTGTTAGCTTTAACTTTGTTTGGACCTACAATTAGGTTTAATCAATCTCTTATTATTGAATAGCATTTCTTTATTATCACTCCTTAAAAAAGTTGACACATCAAGAGCTTCAAAAAAAAAAAGAAAAAAAAGAAATGCATCTGACTGCCCAGGTATATTTATATATTCATTTATAAAAATAAAGTTAAATTTACATACACGTGAGGAAAATAAATTCTGTTTTGGGGATTATAAATGGATCAATGATAATTACTTTTGATTACTTTCTTTTAAATCACATTATTCTCAATTGTGATTTTTAATAGATTCTTATTACTGTAATAAGTAATAAATTATTATTACTGTAATATTACTGTTTTTTTTTTATTTACAATAAAAAATACTGTAATACTATTTTTATTTTAAAGGCACAGAACATGCGACCAGAACCAATAAAGACTTATTTATTACATTTAAATATTGTCTTTTTTCATTTTACAATTATGAGAATTAGGGTGTAAATTCATGAAAATAAGGTCAATTTAAAAAAAAAAAAATCTTAATGGTTCAAAAATAAGTTTAGTTTCCTAGTTTCTTATTTGTTCTTTAGGTTTTTCAGATGAAATATGACCCTAAGAACGAATTGAAACCTGTGGGGGGTCACATTAGGCCATTGATATTTATTAACTCCCAATACGTTGATGAGCATAAATTGACATTTCTAAATGTGGTAATGGTTATGCGCAAACCCCACCTTCCCCCCATTTATAATGACTGCCTTGCCACTGGTTATACTTGTGATTATGAATGAGAGAATGAGAGAGGTAAAAGAGCCCTTCAATTTTCCCTCCCACCTTTCTCACCCTCTTCACACTGAGCTCCAGTTGATATTAGTCATTCACCATAAAAAGGAGGGAGTATAGGAGCGTTTAATTGTTCAGTCAACCTACAGCCCTGTACGCTCTCTCTCTCTCTCTCTCTCTCTCTCTCTCTCTCTCTCTCTCTCTCTCTCTCTCTCTCTCTCTCTCTCTCTCTCCTCTCTCTCTCATGCTCTCTGGTGTGTCAGCAGCACAGAACTCTGGCTGACTAAATAAGGCAAGGATGGAGTCAACTTATCAGCTCTGGACAGAAATACATAAGCCAGTAAACAGTTGATACAGTAGCCCATCACTGCCAGGCTGTCATCTGTCCTACGTGCCAATTGAGTTCACAAATGTTTATCGTCAATCGCAACAATGACTTCATCTGCATTTGTCCCTTACTCACAATCGAGAACACCGATATAAACACAGACTATGAGCCAGTTAGTTAGTAAAGGAAATACTGTAGCAAAGAATAACAATAATTATGACATAAAATGCTGGATGTAGGTTATTTCAGTCAAATAATAGGAAATAAAAAGCTGCATTTACTTAATCAAAAATAC